CCCAACTTGAGGGCCATATGTATGTATATTTGAAAACCAAACCAACTGTTCTTCTCATTTCATCTCTTCACTTCCATATATAGAAAAATTATTCATTGCTTTACTTTAAATATCATTCAGCGATACTTCTTCTTCGTACTCGTCTTCTTCACATTCACACACATCCCTTCTTCTCCTGACTTCCTGTTTTGCTTTCAACACACAGGATAATTTGTAAATGAATGACCTTTTTTGGGATAAGATAGAAGGCTTTGTTTTTTGTGATGTGAGGCTGTTGTGTGACGTACAAGTTCCTACTTCTCAGGAACGATTGTAATGTTTTTCACTCATTTCATCTTCGTTTCTCTCATATCTTCTTCAACTTCGTCTTCGTTTCATTTCGATTTTACATTCGCCTTTAAGCCAATGAGGCTATTCCCGATATGAGCAGTTCATTATTTTTTCCTTTTTTTTTCTTCTATTTCACACATCTTTCATCATCACGTTGACGGTTTGTACTCTTGGCTAGGACTATGAGCCATATTCCGTTCTCGTCTATCCCTCCCAAATATATTATTTCTAATTCGAATAGACTTCCGGTCAAGACATGTTTTTCGTGCGCTTGTTTGGCACTCTATATTCTCCGTGTTGTCCTATATAGCCTTGCCACCCACATGAAACTTTTTGATGATAAACTTATGCTCATGAATGATAACAAAAACTTCTTCTCTTTACTCCTAATCACGTTTGCACAATGCAATTGCTCCAAATGGAATTATGATTCTGATGCGATTGCTAAACAGAGGGAGAGAAAGAGAGAGAGGTGTTACCCACCCGAATTCTCTCAATAGCAAATTCACAAGAAATGAGCCGATAATACAATTTCAGACATTCTTTCTAATGGAGCTTCTTGTCATTTTGTGAACTTTGTGTTTCATTTGCTCTTCTACATGCACATCTGAGTGCGATAGAGAGAGAGAGAGGGAGAGAGAGAGTGGAAGAGATGGACAAAGAGAGAGAGAAAGAGAAAATGAGGCAAAGACTGTATTTTATTTTTCATTTGCAATAGAACTTTAAGAAATCTTTGATCTGAAAATAGCTTTGAGAGTTATGACTGATAGTAGAAGAGAGAGAAATGCTTGTTTGCGGATGTTTTGGTTCAAAATAGTACTCCCCAATAAATCTGAGCAAAAAACTTGTCTTTCTTCTTATTTGCGTTCTTATAACTCATCCCACAACTTGCAACAAATAAGTTTCTTGAGAGAGAGTCGAAATAGCTAAGAGAGTATCATTCAAGAGTGAGAGAAATAGAATGAGCATAAGAGTTGATGTGAAACAGAACCTTCTTGAGAAGAGAGAGTGAAAGAGAGTTGACAAGCTGCGGTAGAGAGAACTTTTAATTTTTGAATTAATTATCACTTTCCGGAGTCTATGAGAGAGATAGAGAGGGAGAGAAACAATGATGGAGACAATTTTAAAGAGGGCTTAAAAGGAAATTAAGTAACTTAAAGCTATTCATGTTACATTTGCATACTAACTGTTGTACACAAGACACAATCCCTTATTTATGAGCAATATATAGCCCGAGGGAACGGGTCAAACGCAGATGAAGAATAGAAGAGAACAAAAGAAAAGAGAGCTGTAGGTCCACTTGAAACCATTTTGCTTTCCTGATGCAACTGCCTAACCCTCTCAATTGCTGAGCCAAATTTATATTTCATTTCAATATTCCTTTACTCAATCGCATACGTTACTCATTCCCATTGTCGGAAGCAGCTTCTGAACAGGAATAGCTGCGATTTCATTCAGCCATTTTTTTCTCTGTGTGTTTCAATTAAAAACAATTGCATTCTGAAAGTTTCATTTACTCTTCAAGGACATCACAGATTTTGAATTAGCTGAATTAGATTGCTATAAATGGCGGGGCAATTTGAAGCTTTTTGCTTGAAAAATACTTCAAACCAACTTCCTTATAAGCTTTACGTCTTTCCTTCCAGCTTTTCAAAAAAAAGCGAACACACAGATGACCTGCTTAGCCTAAACTTTTTCCAAACTTTTAAGACATTACTCTCCTTCTTTCTCTCTCAAATAACTTAAAGCTCATCATTCACCCGTTCGTTCTTCTACTTTTACTCATCTCTATCCCCTCCATCTCCTCTTCATCCCTTCCCTTCTTACATTCCTCTCTCTCTTTCTCTCTCTCTCTCTCTCTCTCTATATATATATCTTTCTTTTTGCAAAAACTATGTTAGATGACTGAGAAAAAAAATAAACATGTGAAGACTCTCAGGTAAAATTTATTATTATTTTGAAGAATTTGAGCGATTCATTCCGCCTGACGTGCACAGAGGTCATTTGAACTTTCGTGAGTCTTTAGCACAAATTATAATCTCAATTGTCGCATTATTTTAATTTTTTCTGCAAATGAGCAGCTTGTTTCTCAAGAAAGTGGCAACAAAACAGAAATGTTAAGTGAACAGAGAGAGAGGAACAAAAAAAAATTTTTTTTTGCTCTCAAAAAAACTTTCATTTGACTTCATCTTCTTCTGCATCTACTGTCTCAACTCTCAATGCTAGTCTTTGAGTTTTTTTCTTCTTTTTTTTTGCTCCTTCTCATCGTTTTGCTTCATTTATAAGGAAATTTCATTGGCTAAAGGACGAAGCAGTTCAGCGGAACTGATCGGAACTTTTCAAACCTTCAGGGCGATGAGAATTTCATTTTGATTTTTGACCCAAATGAATGCTTCTATGAGAGGCTGTTGACATGGCGGTCTGATTGACTTCTTTAACGCCATATGTGTACCTTTGGGTCAGACCTTTTTTGATGTTTCCATTTCTATGACGCTCACCATCTATACAGCTTTAAAATATTCTGATCCCATGAGACAACTTCTACTAGCCGTTGCTCAACATCATTGGTCGCCGTCCAGCTTCTTTCTTGCATGCTTTTCCGTCAATCTCTTCGATTCTCTTTCTTCTTCTAAAATTCCTTTGCTTTGACTTTTCTATCGTCTTGTGCAGCTCAAATCTTTCCCATCTTTTGCCATGTCCTTGTTTCGCTATTTTTCTTTTCTTCTCTCATATCTCTTAAGTTCGTCAATGATGAGATGACATCTATTACTTTCTCTCTCTCTATATTTCTCTCTCATCAGCCTTCCCTTCTCCAAAGTCCTGGTACCACACATTCTTCTGCGTACTCGGGCTAATTCCCATTTGGCCATTTCATCCAAGCCTTATCTACGTTCAGATTATTTGGAATATTTCTCTACTATCTCAGCTATTTACACATTATTCTCTCTTCGACCCATCATTATTTATTTTTTTCCTCTTCCTTTTACTATTTCTTTCATCTTTTCAACTTTTTTTTTGTTTCTCAACTTACTTTCATCACATCGCAAATGACTTATGCTTTCCTTTCTCTCTACCCACCCTCATTCCCTTGTTCAGCTAACCAATGATTAATTAAATAGATTTTTAAAATTCTTTTTGTACGAAAAACGTTTTTTGCACTTTGCAAGCATTGCTTGATGCTGTACATTCGACGAACACACCGACTATGCTCTTACCTTCATTCAAGAAGATGAGAAGCAAAAGGATTTTTGTTTCACATTCACACACCCTTTGGCCCCTGGCGAATGAAAGCTCGGAAGGAAAAGTTGTTATTTCATTTTCCTGTTTGTGGGCATCAAAGATTTATTTTTGATATTTCTTCCAGTTTAACTACAACTGAAGAACGTTCGTGTCCGGAGGATGTTCTTTCAGAACATGCCTCCTTCGTTTCTTTAATTTTCATTGAACTTCCTATGTGATACTCTTTGCAAATTCAAATATTTCTTCTGCTTCTTCTTCTTCATCTAAGAAGGAGACGAAGACTGGAGGTAGAGAGTGCGATCGAGAGGGAGTGAGAAAGAGCATGAGAAACTAAAGTAAGTAGAAAATAAACGAAAAAAAAAAGAAAAAGAAGATGATTGAAAAAATATTTTTTCGGTAAAATATGAATCCTTTCCGATTGTTATGATTAAATGAGTAAAATCGTTTCTTTCGTATGCTTGTGGCTTGTCTTTCCATCTAATTTCAAACTTCTATCCAAATGATCAAAATAAGCGTCATTGTAGTTCATACATGTCGCATTAGATGACGGCCACTACGACAAGCCAATTGAATCCATTCAGACTTTTCTTCTTCTTCGTCTTCTTCTTCGCGCCTTTCGACTTCTCTTCCAGGCGCAAGAATAAACGAATCTAGGATGTGCACAAGATGATTGGCAACACAAAAAAAAAAAGAAAAAAAAATTTCCGTGGCGACAATGAACGAATTATATCTTCATCGGCTTGTGCTTGTTCCATAAATACCAACAAATAACTGATTAAAAAGAAGAGAGGGCGAAAGAAAGAAAGAGTGAGAGAGTGAAGAGAAGGAGAAGCTGTTATTATTTTTGGAATTTTTTGTTTCCATATTTGGAATAACTATGACGTGTTACGTGAACGGCGCGTGAAACGACAACGTTTACCTCGTTAGCATATTCATTATTATTCTCAGTTGACACGCGCGCAGAACGGTTGGTCTCTCTCTCTATCATCTTCTGTTTCATATTTAAACTTGTCGTATGTTCCGTTATTGCGTTGATGTTGATAGTTAAACTAAGTGATAGCAAGTAACTAATTTCATTCAAGAATCTATCTCATTCTAGTCTTAATGGTAAAGTGTAAAATGAGATGAAGAAGACAGAAGGAAGTTTTTTCGTTCAGTCGTTCAGATCCTCCTTCTTGTTGTAGTTTCTCATGATTCCTCTTCGTAGAGCTAACAAGTCTGTTACGAAGCTGTACATTATCGATGAACAGACAAACAACAAGTAGTTTTTTAGGATTTTTCTTACAAATTGCCTGAGGCGTTTTCATTTCGTTTGAAGTTTACCTATCGTTGAACTATAAATTTTATTTTTTCTTCTATATTTCGTCTTCTTGTTTCTCGTAAACAGATGAATCAGTTTTAAATTAAAATATTCCAGATATGCACCGATAATGACATCATCTAGTGAGGGTGAGATCCTTCAGGTCTCCCAAATTATCCGAGAGAGATGGAAGATTGTAAGTCATCAGAAATTTGCTCATCCAAGTATATTCTAAAATGTTTTTTCAGAAATCTAAAATCGGTGGTGGCGGTTTCGGCGAGATATATGAAGCTATTGATGTGCAAAATCATAATGAACGGGTTGCCATTAAGGTACTAAGGAATATGATCAAACCATCTCATTTTTACTATTCAAGGTTGAATCCAGTAAAGCCACAAAACAAGTGCTTAAAATGGAAGTTGCCGTCTTGCGACGATTGCAAGGGAACGGTGAGCAGAGAACCTTCTTAGGTCTATCTCATAATTAGTATTTGAAGGAAAGAAACATGCGTGTAAATTCTACGGGTGCGGACGTAATGACAAGTTCAATTACTTAGTCATGAGTCTACAAGGCAAAAACTTAGCAGATTTAAGAAGAGAAGTACTGTTGACGTCTGATGTATGAGAATTAATGAAATGTACTTTGAAGGCTCCCAAACAATGCTTTTCCTTATCAACAGCTGTTAGAATAGGTATCCAAATACTTAATGCCATTCATGAAATTCATTCAATCGGATTTCTTCATCGTGACATCAAGCCGGTAAGAGAGTACAGTCTAATTGAAAATTAATTGTTTTAGTCGAATTTTGCCATGGGAAGGACATCCCAAACAATGCGTAAAGTGTATATGCTAGATTTTGGATTAGCTCGTCAGGTTCGTATCAGTGGTCAATCTATGATTATTCAAATGTCCTTTTTATAGTATTTAAATGCTAAAGGAGAAATTAGAAGTCCTAGAAGTGCTGCTGGTTTTAGAGGAACAGTTCGTTATGCTGCAGTTAGTGCTCACAAAAACAGGGTAGAGAATTTTATAAAAATTATATATTTTACATATATTTTCATGGTGTAGGAAATGGGTCGTCAAGATGACTTGTGGTCTTTATTTTACATGCTCACTGAATTTTTACAAGGACAACTTCCATGGAGAAAAATAAAAGATAAAGATGAGGTAAACTATAGTAGTACGCAAATGAGTTAACGTTTACACCTTATTAAGGTCGGTAGAATGAAAGATGATGTAGACTTGAACAGCCTGTTGGATGAATGTCCTTCAGAACTCCATTTATTCGCTGCTCATCTCAAGACTCTGGCATATCCCGATCCACCAGATTATGATTATTTAGAAGGTCTTCTAGTTCAAGTCATGACTAAGTGAGTAGAAAGCTTCTTGTTTTATCTCTAATTGAGACAATCATAGAAATGCTTTGAACTGGGATGAACCTTATGACTGGGAGCTTGGCTATGAGAACCTATCTGCCCGACCACGAACTAATGGCAATAACTCTTCACGCCTCAAATCACATACTACAGCAGTTATCCGAGACCAAAGATTGGAAGATAAAAACAGGTTTTTCATTAAAAATGCTTCATGCTCAAACGTTACTAAATTTGCTTCAGGGCACTGGAAACTCAAGCCCCAATAACTATGGGTGAGGATGAAGATGAACAAACGAACGGACAGTGTCCTCAAATTGGAATGGGTGAAAGTGGGCATGAACGAATAGAAAAACCCAAATATAAACGTCATGAATTTTTAAAGTAAATATTCTATTTTGATCTGTTCATTCAAACATTCTTTGATTTTAGACCCAAACATGGCACTGTTAATCTGGATATCATTGATGCTGTAAATGCAAGATTAGCCGCTTGTGACGATGGTGAAGAAAAGCTAAACGATGGCAATGATGTAGAGGTAATAGAAGATTTAATATTCATAGTCCATGAATCCTGTTCTCTTAAGGCCCATTTCAACATTCCATGTTCAGTCTTAAGACCTCAATTAGTAGAGTCGAGTGTTTCACTCGTGAAACCCCGTTCACCAAACGAAAAGCATAAAAGCAACAAGTCGATAACTGTATGTTACCACATGCGCAACAATATTGATTGATATGTTTCAGCTATCAATTAATCGATATCCGAAGAAGACAGCTAACTCTTCTGAAAACTATAATGCTCCTGAAGATCCATCTCATAACGTTAGAACAACCATCAATATGCCGAGTAGAATTCATGGTGAGAAAGTCTTTACAAGAAGTCAAACGTATCAGTTATATCAGGCTCGTTTGATGTTTCATGTGATGATGCCGGAGATCCCGTGATTGATGATATGGGAATGGAGCGCTCTGAGGGAAGACTGAGGAATCATATCATGTGTAAGTTTTTCGGATATACAGTATATGCAGGACAGCGCTAATTGAAAATCCTAGCAAGATAGCCAAATCAGTTCATCCTAAGGCTATTGATGTTACCATCACAGGCTCTTCAACCTCAACATTCTTAATCCGAATGAGAACATGAGCATCGTTTAACATCATCGTAGTGAAAAAAAATTAAAACATGAAACAGTTCCCTTTGGAAGCAAAAAAGCTTCTGAACTCTTGAAGTGTTTGTAGCGGTCAAGTGCAAACTCGCAAAAATGATAACGTTGCATACAGCAAACAATAAACTGATACTCTTTAACAGTTCACTTGACCCTACACTGAATGGAAGGAAGAACATCAAAGACCCAACCTTATGTTTATTTCTTTCAGCTCGAGGCTCCCTTCTTTCCCCACCAAGATCTGATAATGGTTCAGCGAACACTTCCCCTGGTATGACGTCTTCGTCACCTGTGGGTGCTCTAATGTCCCCGATAGCAGGTACTTATATAAAAAGCAAAAACCATTTCATTGTTTTATGAAATATTTTCTTTAGCTCGACGATCATCACGACAGGAAAAGGAAAGGCCAATTATGCATCGAACTCAATCGTGTGGCGCCCCACCTAGTAGTTCAATCATAAGTCATTTCAAAGGACTCATTAATGTTTGAGACTCTTTTAAACGTTGATCGTAAAGAAAGTAATTGCAGTCATTTAACAACTTGGGATGCGGGGCTCGTTTAAATCGGGGAATATCAGTTGATGAATCTCCTCGTCAAATTAACAGCCAAACTGATTCGAGTTATGGAATGCGTAATAGTACCTCAGCAGTTCGAATTTCACCTTCTCTAACTTCAACAAAAGTCGTGGCCAGAGTTTCAGCCGTACCGGATACGGATGATGAGAAGGAGCAAAGAAGAATGAGAAGACTTCGACGACGAAGCGTAGAGTCGAACGTAAGGGTGCGTGTTGTTATGCTTTTGTAAAATTGGGCCTGACCTTTATCTCATTAAAAACGTTTTCTAAGTATATTAATTGACTTACGATTTGCAAATAAGTATTTTTTATGAAATGCGATCTTGATTTCATTTTCCATTCCGTATATCCGTATCTCGCCGTACCTCGCCTTACGCTTAGTGGGATACGAAGAAGCAAAGTGGAAAGCTTTCGTGTCTCTTTGCTAAAATTGAACTCCTAATGATCTGCACGAATCAAAACTTTATTTTCAGATCCCTTACATAACAGAGTCAACTCCACCATTATCTCCTCGCCTAGTTCAAAAGTCCGTTGTACACTCAGCTGCCGATAAAGGAGGAATAGTGAAGATCAGAGATAATGGTTTAGACGAGGAACTCAAAATTCCAATAGATGATAAGCCATTGCTCTTTTATAAGTAAGTTTTGATTGTGTTGAAAACAATTTCAAGCGCTTCGAAGGAATGCCTAATATGTTTATATGTTTCAGACGCAAACGCTACCAATTCCTCAACTTTCCACGGGCTTCCTCTAAATCATAATCAATTAACTGTAACTTCGTGTTTTTCATATATTTCCATCTCTGGGAAATAGTGCTTGTCGCAGGACATTACCGAAATTCACTACGGACCCCATTCTGCTTTCACGCACCCGCCTTCATCTCCAGGTTGTTAGTAGCAAGAATTTCGTTTGTACAGAAATTCGAAAAAATCAATGATTATTTCGTTTTTATAACAAGAAAAAGACAAATAAATAAAAAATTAAAACGTCGTGGTGCTCTGTGGCCTTGTTGTAGGCGAACATAAGTCAAACAATAATTGTGCTAATGCCTAGTCTCTCCATAATCTCTGGTCCTTCATGTTATTTTTTGGTTATGATACTTCTGTCTTCTCAACTCAAAAAGATTTTCTATCTAGTCCATATTCAAATATTCCGCTCAGAGTGAGCTATCACTTTCCGAAGAAAGGACAACATGTTGTATGTAATGAACCTCCATCCTTATCTGTCCTGTTCTAACTTTTGCCACAACTTGTTGAAAAACCAACATCAATGGACCAAATCGATCGTCTGATAGTCTTACAAGAAAATGATTTACGAAATACTCTTGCTCACTGTTTTTCATTATTTTTTCTGTTAGAATAAAACTTTTATATATATGTATATATATATATATATTAATTAAAATTCAAAATCACAATAGAAAAAAAAGATCACGAAGGATATAAAGAAGAGGGAAGATGACTCATTAAGATAGTTTTGCCCACGGAATGACTGAGAAGCTTCAATCAAACGTTTACGCTCAAACAAATTAGAACCCCAAATGTAAATTAGTTAAAACCTTGTATTAAACGTTTGCTTTCGTATTCTAGAAGAGGTTTGTACCCTCAAGGAAGATGTCAGTGAATACAAGCTGACACAATGTACAAACTGATACTTTCGGCGGTGATAAATTAATGAAGGATAGGATACCGTGGGTGATATAAAAATCTACTTGCTGTAATAGACACGATAATATAGGGATTTGGATCGCCATAGAGAGAAGGAATTGTCAAATTTCAGAAGATACACTCCACGGCCGGGATAAATATGACTTCCAGCGTACACCTAGAAGAGTTGATTACAATATTCGAACGTGTACTCTTTCCCTTACTTCTTCATGGCAGTCTCTTCTGTAGACTGGAATTATCTCATCTACCCGTGGCTTATTAGGATCACGAACACGTCGTGATGGTGTTCCAGACTCGACATCCCCAGGAACAGTTCCTTGTTGTGCCTCTTCCGGAGCTGTTTCTTCGTAATCCTCTTCTTCATCTGATTCACTCACATGGATGGAAACCTAAGTAATTCGAGAAAATAAAACATGGGAATCTGAGAATAAAAAACCTGATTGCTTTCTGCAATTGTCCATTCAAAATATACTCCAAATCCTATGTCATAGTGATCGGTAGCAAACTCCCAGAACAAACAAGTTCCATCTTCATGGGTGGGAACTCGGATCTTAAAGCCTGTGATTAAGCAAATATGTCAAAATATTGAGTTACCGTGACAGTCTCTCCATGACCAACTTTTAGGATTCCCTGGCTGTCTTCTTTTTTTATCTGGTTCTTGAATTGAACGATGTCGCCTCGGTTCCAGAGTGAAGCAGGGCCTATAGCTGCGTTAGCTGAAACCAAATAATTTAAAAAGTTTCAAGAAAAACGTGCAATATTAACAATTAACATGCGAGCATAACGTATGTTGATATTTTCTAGCATGTTTCAACTCAGTGATTGAAGTTGAGAAATAAGTTGGTCTTGATGAGAAAGTCGCGCGAAAGCAGTAGTATGCGAACTACACAGCGTTACAAACAACATTTGTTCTCATAAACAATACAGATTGCAGTGCTTCAAGCTTGGCAAAGCAGTTTCGAAAGCCTGTCTAAAAGCATCAGAAACTAGTGCATTTCAGGACAGGGAGTTCGATATGAATTTGTTTCAATTAGTACTAGCGAGCCGAAAGGAAAAAGAACACAACACAACAGCAATACGTGAGATGCATTGCCCACATTATCTAAAAGAAAAGCATCATAAGCTTTTTAAACCTACAATGGCAGAAGAGTCCCATTTGTGCATGTATGGATGATACTTTAAAAATAAGAGATGTCAGGGAAATGTTGAAGGTTTAGAGATATATATGTCCCCCACACAACAAGAAGAAAAATAACATTAAATAGCGAAAATATAATAAATCTGCGTGCTGTGAGAAGCGGAAGATAGATTTTAGAAGTCAGGTGATGATGCACTCATTTAAGAGTTCTAACTTTAGATAGTGCTCAGCAGCAGTGTGATTATCGTGAAATAATAATAGGACAAACTTAATGCAGATAAACTCACAAGGCAAATCTTCACCGGGTTCCTCGTCAGACACGTCACTGTCATCATCCCGTCGACGTTGATCCTCTTCCGTTTCAGGTACTTTTCTCTCGGATTCCGGCTTAGCTGCTTCAGCTTGTTGAGCATAAACCTGAGTAAAAATAGTTTGAAATTGTGTGCTTTAATTTCTTCTCCCACTTGAGCCATGTATTGTTGATAGTGTTGATCTTGAAGTTGACGAATTAGGGCAGCTTGCTGAAATAATAACTCCGTCACATTGAGCTAACAAAAGATATACAGTGGGTGACAGCTAAGATAGACAAGAGCCACTCCCTAGACAACGTACAAAACTCGGTCCACTTCTCTCACCTCGCTATCTTTATCTCTTCGGTACTTCCTTTCTATTATAAAACTCCATAAGATGAACCGATGAAGCCTCTGTATTTACATCTCTAGAACCCTTTCACTCAAAACGCACTCATCACACATGTTAATTGAACGAACATCGGCTACCCTTTTCAATTTTTCAGAACTTCTTACTAATTATTTTTATCAAAATAAAGTCTGACCAAGTGACCCGCGCTTAACTCTCGTGATTCTCAAGTTCCACATTTACTGCAATCAGCTGTTTAATTTGGCTCAAAGTGCGATCTCACACAAATCCGAGAGAGAAGATGAGAGAAAGACAAAGTAAAAGAACTTTACAACGCGGAATCCCTGAACGACCAGCGATCCCACTTCAAAGTTCGTGGTTTGCCATCGTTTTTTCTTCTCACTATGACTTTTCGCCAAAATTTCATAATTATTTTATCATCTTAATCTTTCAAACTCGAAATCCAGTGTATATTTTTGAGCTTCAAGAGATTTGTTGTGACCGTACGTAAATCAAGCTGTCTAGAGGCTGGACACCAAAATATTTTGATCTTCCTAAGAGTCCAAAAAAAATGAGATGTTTTCATATCAGTAGTACATGTCGTTCTGCTTTCAAAATAAAATAATCAGCCATTCCTCTTTGCTATAAAATTTTTTTTTCAACATTCTCCACTTCCATTTATAATTTTATAAATGAATGAACAATGACTAAGAATATGTCTTTGTTATTCTTTTCAGAAAAAATATTATTAAATTACAGTTTGCCAGAAACAAATGAATGGTGATGGATGTTCTTAACAAAGATTGCTTGCAACATATTTTCCTCAACCTCGATTTCATCGATAGAGTAAAATTGGAGAATGTTTGTAAGGCATGGTATTCTGTTCTCCAGGTACGATCCTCTCTTTTAACATTCAAAGGGAATGGGAAAACTATCAATGTTTCAGTTGCAATCCACATTTTCTGACACAAAACAACTGGATATCTCGAAATTCTTGACAACATCTTCGACTGAATACTATCCACAGGTAGTCGTTCTCAATTTCAACCATGTAATGGAAACTTCATTTCAGGAAAGTCTGAACTTCGTACCCACAGTGTTAGGAGTCATAGAAAGATGTGGGAAGTATGTGAGAGAAATAACTTTTGGGCAGCGATGGCTCAAAATATCACAGCCTGTCATTGACTGCATAGCAGTGTAGTTTCCTGAAGTCTGATGACTCAATATCATATGTGGTTCAGAAACTGTCCCAGACTACGAGTTATTGATTTTGGAGCAACAATTTTGAATGCTGATTTGGAGCCCTTACTGGAAAACGTAGCAGATCATTTAGAAGAACTATCCCTTGAAGAAACGTCTTGGGTGGATATAGAAAACGGACGGAAGGTAAGAATTTAAAATATTGTCTCAGAGTGAGAGCAATCCAAACACCTTTCTTCTCCTTCTTCTTTTTCTTCTGCCGACCTAACCAAGAGAATATCATTCAGGAACGAGTAAATAAATAAAAAATGCAAAATAGAACAGTTACAGTACAAACAGATCATTATTGTTTTAGATCCAGTTATTTTTCAAGAGGATGAAGAAATTGAAAAAACTAAATCTCAGATCTGCCATGTTTATGCTGGACAGGATAGACGAGATCCCTCCACAATTAGAGTATATTTTAGAAAGAGATTTTTTTTTTTGGTAATCATGGTCATAAATTTAGAGAACTGAGTATCAGCGGAGCGCACCGTATCCCACCCGAGACGTTTGAGAACTTCTTGGAAAAACAGAAACATTTGAGAATTTTGGATTTATCTCCGATCCCAGCCCTCTCTGAAGGGGTACTGGACTCAATCGGAAATTTACCTTCACTCCAGAAGTTTAATATAGGCTTCAGTGATCAGATTCTCTTCGACTATGATCCGTTGATGAGACTGACTCATTTAACGGAATTACGTTTAGTGGTGAGTTGAGGAATAGACATCATCAATAAAAATAAAGTTCAGAGCATCGCTGGATTGACAGAAACTTGTCTCCACTTGGTTTTATCTTGTCTTCCTCAACTGCAAGCACTTTCAATCAAAAAATGCACAAACATTAGAGAATATACAGCCCTCGGATTTTGTAAACAGCTCACTGAGCTGGAAATAGCCGATACAATCTCATTATCGGACGAAGATCACTACAGATTATGTACGTATGGAAAGTTGAAACAGCTTACATTCATAAACTGTTTCAATATTTCAACCAGAGGAGTTAACAGCGCTCTGACAAGATGCCAACTAGAATCGGTAAGCCCTCTTATGTGTCAGGCTGCAAAACCTATTCTGTTGTTTCACAATTTAGATAACAATAAACCGATGTTCGCTAGTTACTGATGAAATGATGTACATGCTGGCATCTACACAAAGAGAAATAAAAAATGTCTCTTTGCAAGGCTGCAGTGGAATAACAAGGTGAGCTTCCAAAGAAAGCTTTCATTTCCTCATCCGAAATCTTCAGCAAAGGCGTATCAGCTCTGGCGTGGCTTCGTAATGTACTAGAACTCAGAGAAATCGATGTGTCTCGAAATAAGAACGTGAATGATGCGGTTGTCTTGAATCTCCACAATGCTCTAACCATGGCATATAGACGCAAAGAAGGCCACATAAATGGAGCCTTCGATGAGGACAGCATATGTCAACAAGAGGATCGAAGGGTGAGGAAATTGCAATTTAGTTGCATCAAAGTCTTTTTTTCCAGAAACTGCTGATGTACATAAGTGAAACAAGTATCTCTCATGAGGTGCAGAAGGAAGTGGAAGACTTACTCATCTTATCCTAGCTACTTTCTCTCTCTTCTATCGTACTCAATCATTTATTCACAACCTTTTCTTTCAGACTAATTTGTGATGCTTTGAAATACGGAACATTAGACTGGTAGGCACGTATATACATTATTAGTAATATATATGAGCTACAACTTTTACGGACATTATACTTCTTATTACCTCTCCCTCTCACACCCTCATGTATCTTAACTTCGATTTATAATGGATGTTTTTCGTACTTCATGGAATAAAAAATACCCGTAAAGTACATACCTGTTCTGCTTGTTCAGGATATTGTTGTTTAGCGTACGCGCTGAATTGATGAAATGTTTGAGCGTTCAGAGCGTCTTGAATTTGTTTCCTTAAAAATAATGTTTTGCCACTTTCACGGAACTTCGAACTCTTGAAAAATACCTTTGAGCTTCGAACAATTCCCAATTGGGTTGCTGTTGCACTAATTGGGCAGACTGTTGAGTACTGGAAATTTGTTGAAGTTCCGAGGCTTCACCTCTGAAAATTAATGTTCAAACAATGAATGAACAGTGGAATTTAAAAGAATGTGAAAAAAAAACGAAGAAAAAAGAGACTGGCAGACAAAAACATGACAACTCGATTTAGCCATCGTTTTGGCAATCAATAGAGGAGCCGCATAAAAGGAGTATTTAGGGGAATTTTGAAATTGTCGTGAACAATCAAGAAGCTAGCAGCAGCAGCCTTCGATCTGGCAAACAATAGTTGAAGAATTTAGAAAAATACAAAAAGAAATACGTGAATGTATATATATAAATATATATTTGAGTTGAGGCAAAATCTTGCATAGTGTAGCTTACCCATGCCAATGAATGATCGATAAGGGAAAGCAAGCGTTGAAGGGAACAGGAGAAAGAAGTTATATCTATCTCGCTTTCTCACTCTCTCTCTCTCATCTGCTCTCCTCCTCGTTCCGCCAATGTTTTCATTTTGAGTCAAACATTATATCCTTTTTGGAATATTTGATTGAAAAAGAAAAAGACTAGTCATTCTCACTATAACGACTCCAATCAAGGCAGAATTAAAAAAAGGATAAAGCGTTTTTGATGGAGAACATGTAAATTAAGAGGAATGAGATTAAATTTAAATGACTTACACAGCTTCTACAGAATCCGATAAAAAATTTTTGAATGGAGGGCACACACGATCCATCATGAAGACGAAAGAAGCCATAGCGTCCTCCTTGTTTAAATTACCTAATTCCTTCCACGATTTCCTGAAAAAAAATCCATTAAGATCGAGCAGAAGATACCTTGACGAAATGTGTTTCGGAAAAGAGGAAACAAAAGGGGCGCTTTGAGTCATTCTAAGGTTTTGAAAGACAGACTCGAAGTCCCATGTGTTTCATGAGCAATCCATTCGTTGAAGATGATGAAGAAAAAATACGAACAAAATCCTCTTTCTCCAGTTTTATCATCTTAGCTAATCAAAGCACACCAGTCCAAGAAATAGAAATGGGAGAGCAAAAAGGTTTTCTCAGGGAAAGTTTGCAAATTTACATAGATAGGAGGCTAGAAACGTGCGAGCAATCAGAGGAATTCAATTTCGGAATTGACACAAATAAAGCAAAATGAGAGCAAGGAGAACTCAAAAAAAACAATTCAAAAAAATATATAAACTGAAAAGAACGAACTAGTATGTACTATTAAGTTTATCGAACGTAACAAGCGGCATGACACATAGGGAAGAAGACTTCCAAATTCAATCAGCGCAGTCTATTTGGCTCTCAACATGCTTTCACGGATACTTAGTAACATATTTTTACAATTCAATTTTGAATATCTTATGAGGTGAAAGTGTAAACTCGAGTGAAGTTGTGTTTCACTCAAAACAGACGGTTACGAACAACTTTCCGTCTGAGGGATAACATATAATACTTATATTGTCATGAGGAGATAAAAGCGAAATCAAAGCAGAAAAGTATGAATGAAACATTCAGAATTTCAATTCAGTCTCAGATGAGCACTATACAAGGCAAATCGAGTTCTTTTCGTTTCCACGCACAGACACTTGTTCTGAGCGTTTCAATTCCAAGGAGCTTCTGAGCAAGCCAATCAAAAAATAACACGTTTTTAATATAAAAGCAAAATGAAAAAAATGTAAACTATAAAGGAAGAAGTTCCTACAAGGTTTTGAGGCTTCCAGAAACCCGGGAACACAAGAAAGGAGAAGAGAAGACAGAAGCCTTTTTCAACCCCCACCACTTAGCTTATTAGCGGCATTGTGACTGAATAGCTAATCTTTCATACAACAAAGAGCTGAAACTTCTTGATATAGCCATCAACGGTTTTTTTCGAAACATAATAGAACATCTTAACATGCGGACCAAATATGGCATTTTAGTTAAATATTGCCGTAGAATATACTGCGAGCAAAAAACAAATACAGAATACTCAAGCAACAGCCTTGATTGGAAGATAGGCTAAATCGCATTTGCCCCGCAGCCTTCATTTCAGTTCATTTGAGAATAAAAACGAGCTGAAGAGAGTGAATAACTCAAACGAAGTACTAAGTAATGAGAAGCAATGACAAGTCTAGGTACAGCAGAGACCAGTTGCAAGAAGCTATCAAAATGTGTTGGCAGAAAGTTAATCTAATCGAGAGATCATTGCGCCACACCAAAAATGATCACCACTATTTCGTGGTATTAACAAGTAAATTGCAACTTTCCTTACTTTCGAGCACCACTAAAATGAGGACATCTGAACTATAGATGTCACTTCAGATGTGGAGTAAAAAATAAGACAAAAAATCCTTAAAGAGAATATAAAAGAAGATTATAATAGGATTCGAAAGCTTTATGCGAAACCAGAAGTAATCCCGAGCGAGTAGAGATGGGGCGCGAACGCACAACATTAATCCCAGAGGAACGCCATGTTGACGAACAAGACATTCACGGGAATTTCTTATCCGTCTTTTAGAAAATTTCATTTAGAAATCTATGAGTCTTTAGGTCCACACCGCTAATCGAATCCCAATGTTGAAAACAGAAAAAAAAAACATACGTCATATCAGATCCCACGAAATCAAACCATCCTGCGGATTCACTGCTCTCGGCGTAGGGTCCCAGCCTAACCTACAAAATCAAGGATTAGACGATGTATGCACAACATTCTTTGTAAAATTGAATTTCATGATTTTTTTGTCAAATCGGCTTTGAAAATAGGAAATAGTGCAAAATAAACTCAATTGCTGAGCTAGCCATTATGGAATACAATCAAAGAGCTTTTTACTCGAAGAAGCTTTCTTTGTGAGCAATAAATTAACACAACGTATGTGAGCAGATAAACCACGCTAATCAAATTTTCATAGCTTCTAATTCAGTTAGAAGGTTAAGCTCTCAAGAATTCAGTTTTCTTCTGTCTGAAGAAGCTTCAAAAATATTCGTACCTGCTTGCTAAGGGCCATTAATTGTACTCGATCATTATATGACACTGTTAGTTCTCCTGATTTCTCTTTCTCTGTATGTATTTGTAATAGGATGTTTGCAAATGAAATGTTACCTTTGTAAAATCGTACAGCTGATTTATAAGCTTCTTCCAGAGGTAATCCGAACTCGCTTTGCACAAGCTGAGCTTCGGATAACTTCACATGATTGTTATTAGAACCATCCGATTCCATTTATTGCACTGAAAATAAAGAATAATATGCTTGATCAATCACTCTCACTACAGTTAACAGCAAAAGACCATAACAGAGAGCTAAAACGTTAATAATACAGAAGCAACAATCAATAAACTGGAATAGCATTTTCATGATTTCGCTTCCAAACACAAGCTAATTAGATAGATGTTTGTCAAATTATAAAGAGCACTGTCCTTTAAAGAAGTTGGGTATTGGACTCGAAGACAGAATTAGCATAATCAAAAAATGTTATCTGCAATCCAACAAGCCAAGTTTTAGTACGCTGCATTAAGATTCGCATTGGAGCACGTTTACTATCAACAAAAACAAAGCCATGTACCTCGAAGCCCTTTGAGCTATTACTTCGAACTCTATTTGTAACTTCCTGTCCTGTTCTTGTAGTTTCTGAGTTGTTATTTTTCTAATCTTCTTTTATGGCGTTCACTCACGAGAAGATACTTTTTCAAGTTCTGTTCAAACTCAATTCTATATTGAGTTCGCTCGAGCTGAGTCGAAATTGAGACTCAAAACTGAAAAATAGGAGATAATAAATATGGAATGAGAAAGTAATCTGTTATTTAGCGAATCCGACCGCTCTTCATGAAACTATTTTCGAAATAGTATTGCTTGTTCCGTTGCCACGTGGCATTTTTTTCACGTTGCTTACAACGTGGTTGTTCATGTAGGAATTTCCTTGTGTACTCTCAAATATTGAAAAGAAGTTTGGGAGGTATAAAATGTTTTTATTGAACATGAGTATTGCCATGAGTATTGTTATACCGAAGATTGCATCGTCAACATATTCTGTAATGATCGTTCTATCGAATTCTTTTCTAGCGTATGACGTTTACAGCGGTCAGCGTTCAGCAGCAAAGCACAGAAATGTTTTCGCAGTTCGTCTAGGTGATAAATCCGTCTCTCATCGTCAGTTTTCATTCATGCATATATATATATACACCCGAACGTCTTAAATATCAACGCATCACGTTCTTTTATTTTCGAGTGGAAATGTCAAATTCATAATCTTTCACATTCAGCTTTTTTTTGCTGAATTCTTCAAAACACATAGCGGATCAAATGTTTATTCTCTAATATACTGTTGGAAATTGCAAGAAATATTTAAAGGGGGGCACATTCTCCTTTGCAAATAGCTCCCTGGCGATCTTTCTGCTTAGGAATCAAATCATCTCCAACCTTATATGTCACACGTCCAATTCCATCAAGAGTTGACTGAAATGTGTGAGATGTAATAGGTTTATAATTGGCTTTCAGTTTGAAATGTCTTCACTTCCGTTTCTTTGTTTTTTTTGTTCGAACAATTTGTTGTTTAAATTATGCTACCTTAGCAGTTCCGGTGAGCTTTCCTGCCTCATCATAAACAGCAACTTCCCATTCTCTGATTCCACATTCGTCAGCTTTAACTTGGAAAGTGTTTTTGGTCAATTTTTTTGGGAATGTCCATCTGCAAATCAAGTGAATAGTAGGATGTTTTCTATCGAATATACTTGTCACTCTTCTTGCCATTGCTGGCAGTAACCTGAGCTTGGAACTTCTTATCTGTGTCAGATTTGACATGTACAATGATGTCACATGCCAAAGACATGCAAATCATGGCAAGAAGGCAGAATACAACACGCATGCTGAAATAAAAAAAAAAGTTAGAGGACAATGACGGGATTTCACAAAATGATTCAGAAATCAATGATGAAAACATAAAGGTAATAGGTAGGACAGTAGCAGTTCGATAATTGCCAGAACCGGTAGTATTGATCAAAAACTTTTTGGGGAGTTCATTCCCTCTGAAGAGTCAGTTTACCAAAGTAGGTTTGAGACTATTTCTAAACAATCCATGAAGAAAGAATAATATTTGTGGGAAACCGTATGGAGCAAATGAAAGATGAGATGTTCCAACTAAACAATTCAAGAGTTAAAGCTAACTGGCAAACACGACAATATCAAATAGGATGATGATGGCAGAAAGTTTTTGCGGTCTGAAAATCAGAGAAAATGTAAAACACATTGAGATGTCCTTCATTTCTTTCGTATCTATTACAACTGAGATTGTCTGTCATTTGATTTACGTGTTTTCAAGCACAGCTTCGATCTTTTGATATTACAATCCATACAAACATAGGCGGGCTGGGTGTAGTCGAGAATTTTAAACTCTTATTTCTCGAGATATACATAGCTGATTGCCATACAGGTGGTGTTAGATGAACACGGAAGCAATTCAGTTTGAAGATCAAGTAAACAAAACAAACAATTAGAATCTAATTATATTTTGGAACCACAGCGGGGAAAATATCAAAAGAATTGCATATTCATTTATATTTTCCATCGGCAATCGTTTAGTAAACATCGCTACTGGCAAATTATGTTCATTACTTTATGATGGGATCGAAGTTATGAAACACCTCATGATCCCTGAAAAACGCAAAACATGAACTCACTTTTATCCTTTCACATGTTCATTAGAGTGAATCGCCTAGTTCTTGTTTACTCCTCTTAACGCAGTCCTTAAATATCGCCTCATTAGCGTAACGCTGCGTGGCACGTCGAATATTTCATTTTGATGTCGCGGTCTGATGAATGCGGTTGTGTGTCTTCAATTAAATTTCAATTTAGTTCAATTCTTATTTTGTTTTTCTAGTAAACATGAATGCAACAAACAATAATAAAGAATTTCAGATTTTACGAGAATACGAAAGTGGTTAGTTTTTGTTTAAGCAGTAAACTCAATCAATATTCATGTGTTTTTGCATAAAATACTTATTTTTCATTTGTTCAAGACAGTCCATAGTTTACAGGTCACACTCCTCGTAACGTATCCAGCGATCTACCGTTTCCAAATCCCCTTCAAATTGATCTGTCATCAGATACAAGCGATTCGAACAAAAGCATTGTGAGTTTTATAATTAGTATATATATATATATGAATTTATTAATTTAATTGTCTGAAAAATGTATGAGAGAATGAGAGTGAATCAGGTTTTGTTCATTATTGGAGTGTCCATGCGAGAAAAATTTAAAAAATGAAATTGCAGCATCTGTCTACGTCATCAGAAAAGGAACGTCGGTTCGTCATAGAAAAAGATGAGGTATTTATTTTTTATTGTTCTTCCATTATGCACCTCACCTTTCTAATAATCACACATGCATATGTGAGTTTACTTAAAACTAAAAGTTGACCAGAAAATTTAATTACACTGTTTGAATTAAGTTAGTGCTTGACAGACATTTCCATATTTTATGGCAACGTTAGATTGATTAGTTTTTGGGGCAGTTCGTATTTTATTTCTTCGATGCTGTCGATTATTTTTTCTTTGCTGTCCCCTGCTGTCAGTGCAAAAATATACAAATGTTTCTGATGCTAGGTTCGAAGGGAAGAAATCTTAGTACCACATGCTTCTATTCATTTAGGACAATGCTATTGCTTCCTACTGAGCAAAAGCTAACTGCTCAGGTGCTAGTTCATAAATCTCCTAAGATATTAATACCTACCCTTTGTACTCAATAGATCATTTTATTCATAGCTTTTGGTAGACTTAATATTTTTGGTTGCGGATGGTCATAGCTATCGTGCAAAATATCAGATTTCATCTGAGCATATGGAAGAGCGCGTCAATTCTATCGCGTCGCCTAATACTACGACATGTTGAATTTGCTTTTCTTACATTTTTAAAATGTTTTCCTCTGCAAAGCAAATCACAAGATTTTGAAGTAGTAAACTGAGTTTTCCATCCTGTATTCCATTAATTTCTATGAAATCTTCTTGTTCGATAAATAACATGCTTGTCACTGCTTCATAAAAATTTTAAAGCAAGACTCTTTCTTTTCCCAGACATGTTTTTTGTCAATTCATGGCTCAGTTTTACATCTCAACTGGCACTATCTAGCTCTTGAATCAGAAGCACGTTTAAACATATCCTAATGATTAACGTTTTTTTGTTTTTTCTCCACATCTTGCACTGCATTGTTGCACATGTCAAGCTAGTTTGTCTCAATATGATCATCAGTCAATGGAAGCTTTTGGGAATTCAAAGATACTGCATGATTTATCCTGAGAGGTCCTAAGCCATTTATCTAAATCATATTGTCGAAGATACCTAGCGGGAATAATACTTTCGGCTCTTTCCAGCAGCACTGCGTTCAATGAATGAATCTGACAATGTTTGAGTGTTCTAATTGCGATAACTATGTACGGGAAAGCTTTTCAAGTTTTAAGTCATGCGCTCTAACTTTTGGCGTTCAGAATACGCTTTCCTTTTCAATCATAGCTTCCATTACCTATTGGAAACATTTTCTTCCTCTTCCACAATTTTTTCTAAACTATTTCCTAGCTTTCTTCATTGCTATTTAGGAAAGCTTGTGTGCTATGGAGCTCCACCAATTATAGTACGCGATTTAAACGTTTAATTCGCTATTACACAAGCCTTCCTTCTTATGAGCCTTTAAATACGCTCTTTTCTCTTATTCTCCATTGCGCATTACTCATTTCGGTGCACTTTAGTCTCTTTTACTTTTCTTTTCATTCCTCTTCTCCTATTCTCTGAATCTTTCTTTTGAGCTTAATTCATGGCTGAGTTTCTCTTTATAGCCTAATATAAAACATTTCTTACGTTTATGTATAGTCTAATGACGACTCCACTCATTGACATTGTGCGATATAGGATGAATGTACAAAGTCAGTCAAATGTTCCTTTCCATATGTCGACAACCTTAATGTTGCGTCGGTAGTGCTCCGTCATAAATAGATTTCAAACGCCATGCTTCCAAATTTCGTTTCCGCTCCGTATGCGCCAATTTTGTATGCTCTTAAGCTCTCATCGACAATATTATTTTTCATTCTGTGTGTGTCTGTGAGCTTCGAATATATTTCTAAAATGTAACTTATTCTGTTTGTCAGTTTTATTGTCAACCTTAAGACTTGTTGCTTGCTTGCGAAGAACGCCGGCTTCGTTTTGTTTTCCGCTATGTGTAGCCGTATAATTGACAATCAAAAAATAATAATTTGACTATTTTCTCAATAGACTGGCATTGCCCACTTCATTTTCCTAGAAAAGGAAGTGATGTTTTTTATTTTTTTCCTAATCATTCGTAGTGCGTTGTGTTCCATCTGCACAATAGTAGTTTGATTCACTATATCTATTTGAACTTACGATATTACAATTGGTGGTAGATCGGATTGTTTTGTTCTAGTACTCTCTCAACTAGCTTCCTGGTAAATAAGTTTGTCTAATGGCTGTAACCATTAATCACAGTAGGCAAGATAGGTTTGGCTCACCACATGTCTTATGTTCTGAGAAAACCTGTGAGACTCTCGTTCGATCCGTTCAACAAGATTCATCCGATTAAATAAGCATTCTCCGAATTAACTGTTTATGATACTTCCAACTTATCTTACTTTCCCATGAGCTTAGATTCGCCTTCAACTTGCCAGAAATCGGAGCGATATTGCGCATACGAAATTCATGAGAAACCCTAAAAACCAGAATACGCCCCGCCTGCTTTTTCAAGTCAAAAATATGCTCAGACAGCATTTCAAACTTTTTTCTTTCAAATTGTCGTTCTTTGAAAACTTCACATGATCCTGAAGGACTTGCCGCAAATCTGCTTTTTGTTAAGCTAACGTCTTTCCGCTGTTTCTAATTTTGAATCATGAGTCGAAACACTTTCCATGTGGTTGTAAGCACTTTAAATCTCGAGAAATCGTATATATATACACTTCAATGTTATCTACGCTCATGTTTCTTATCTCACGAACTTCCTGTTGAGTATCCTCATTCTTTTTTTATTACTTGTAATTACGTAAAAGGCTCACTATGATTAGGTTCATAAAAGTTGGAAAACAGATCATAATGGTTTGTGAATGCGATTTTTGGAGTGTTCCTATTACACCACCGAGTATATATAGATATTCAATTGCTTCAATGATAAAGACTCAATCGAGCTATGCGTTTTGATTTTTGTACTTGACTCTCTCTTTCTCTCCCTCTCTTCCTCTTCACTCTCTTCCTTCTCATTCACCATTCACACATCTCTGCACACTCGGTTTTTTTTGATTTTAAATTAAATTTCTTGCAAGTGAAGCGCAATTTTCATTATAATGGCGTAGGTTTAATTAGCTTTATGTACTTTCATAATAATCCCAAGGGTCTGTCCTCGTCATCCTTTCAGCCATCTGTGTTCCTTGACATCGATTTTCTAAAAACCATTTATTCTGGGCATTTTTAAGAAAGTGGACGTCGAGTTTGCTCTTTTAAGGTTTCAACTAATTAAAGTAAATGATACTTGGGAAAAGTCCTTCAGTTAACCCTATCAGCTCAAGATGATTATCTGTTCTTTATATTTATTTTCACTAATCCAACATGTTTCAATTAATTTTCTTTCAGTTATTCGTAAGTATGATGTACTGACACATCCTGTTTCCTATGACTTCTCACCCCATTCTCTCAATTCTCGTGACCTCTGGCGAAAGTGCCAAATTTTGCTAAGCTCTTTCCTTACTATTTATACTAACGTCTCACTGATGCAAAAAAAATGTTCCTCACATTCTTTTTTCCTCTAACATTGATTCCGAAGCAATAGATATTGTAGTTCAAATTAGCTGCTGGGAATTTTTCTTCAACAAACTGAGCTCATATTGTTTTCCATGAAATAATAACTCAGCAAGGTCGGAAGGAAAATAGTTGTGAGCTTATTTTTCATATCATGCGAAGACATCACACTTGTACTACGTGTTACGTTTACCTAGCCTTACATATCTCCAAAAGTCTTCTTTTTTTATTTTCTGCAGCTCTGTCTCGTTGTGTGTCTTCATTCTTTTTGATTCACAATCCTTGAATCAATGAAGCGAGACAACAGCTGAACATGTTTCTACTCTAGACAAAAGATTGAATTAACTATATCTAATTGTTTTCTTTCGTCTTCGGCCAAAGGCATAACACACACACAGCTATTTCTCTACACCACAGGAGCAGCTATGTTTTCGGAATCTGAAGACTAACTTATCCGTTTCGCTTGATTTATTTGTCGTGCTGTAAATCCTAGCATCATCACAATTATTTCCGCACGCTCGTCGCTAGCAGCTCTGCTCCTCATTTTGAGCATTTATCTCCTGATTAGATTCGTTAGTCCCAGCTGAACGTTTTTCAAGAGATCTAATAAACGATGCAGAGGTTTCTTAAGGAACAAAATGAGCAATCGGAAAGGTCATAGCAATTTTACATTCCTCAAATAGCAAATCGTTGTGATTTCATCATAAATGTGATTCTCTCTCTTTCACTCTTCTCAATCCCGCTTAAAACATTTCAGTTTTGGAGAGGATATAGATGCGTTTCAGTTATCGTCTTCATTTGAATGTCTTCAATCAATTCTGCTCTATTGTTGCTCATATTATTTTTTAGTGTCTTCTATAGTATTACATTCAAAACCAAAACATAATTTAATTTGAACAGAATTATACAATACAAGTGTTGCTTAACGAAATTGTCATCTTCAAACTCCGATCGGCATAATTATAAACATGGATTCAATCTCGATGCTTCAGATTTCTCCAGAGTTCCGCGCTGCTACATTGAGGATGTGCGAGAAGTCATTACTAAAGCACTAGAATGAGAATGCCGGGGAAAGTGGATACCAGTGTAAGTTTAAATAGTGCTTAGATATTATAATAACATTGATTTTTAGATTTCTAAACCAACAGTACCGAAAGTGGTGATTACTCAACCTTCTTCTGGAAATTTACTGCCCCAACCATCGGTTGACTCTTTTGATTCACACCCAAGCCAACCGTCAAAGTGTTGTACAATTCTTTGACAGATTACTCAATAAAATTTCATATCTTTTTGTGGGATTAAAGGTTATAAGAAGTTAGTTCCCAATCCGGTACTTAATCCCCCTGACACATGCAATGTTTTCTCAATCAATTTAAAATAAGTTTATAACACATTCACATGTAATAATGAATACAAAAAAGGGAGATCGCTATCAGCGGGATATAGCTACCGTGGAAAAGGAATAACGTAAAAAAAACTTCAACAATATAAGGAAAATAGTTCTTTCGAACTTATTTGAACATGTTAAAGTATGTCAAGACCTGGGAAAATTAACTTCGGATGTATAAATGGCATAAAATGTGCTAATAACTCATGATGTAGGCCTAGAACACAAGGGACGTATCTCAGCACAAGTTGATTTTGAAAATGACGCAAAAGTTTTCACCTCATTTCTTCCTCGTCGATCTCGTTAGGGTTCATCATCCCAGGAATTGCCATTTTCCTATTTTGAGCTGCAGCAATTTCAGCCTCCCTTTCTTCCAAGAAAAGATCGGAAGTGTCCTCTCCCGTGAACTCCTGAACATGGATCATAATTTTCACATGATATAGGACACACGACATACCTTAATTTGAACGAGGAAATCGCGTAGATGGTTTCTCATTGCTGGCACATCAGCATTGAATGAGAAGAAACCCTTAATTGAAACCCGAATTTGATCTCTGCAAGGAAACAGAAATGAACTTCAAAATCATGAAAAAAGAAAGATACTCAGTGAGATTGCTGAAATGTTGAACATAAATGTTCCCGATGTGCTGATATATGTAATCCATATTATTTTGCGATGGGTTCTCGTCGTTAAGTGGGACGGTTATATATGTTTCCGCGGCACGGAAAAGAGCAGCCAGTACTTCAGCATAGTATGTTAAACCTGAATATCAAAAGTTAAACAGGTTTAATGTTGCACATCACCTGCTACATGGACCTGACTACTATCTGCGATAACAGCCAATACGTGTTGAAGGATTTGCATGTAATGCCTCTTGTAGAACGTCTGCGACTGTTCAGCAGGTAAGTGAGAAACCTTTTCAAGCATATCCTTGAGAATATCAAGACCTGCAAAGTGACAATTAAAAAGGTAACTCGACGTCATTACATACCAATTTCAGCGACATTTCTCATGGAATGCTGGAAGGCCCAAACAACTGCATCGACAATATAACTGAACTGCTCTGGTGGTAGAGATAACAAAACTGGGAAGCATTCCTTAAGAAAAGAAATTATCCTCTCTATTACGTTATCAACTCAAACCTGTGTCAACGAGAGTAACAGCTGGAAGAAGTTAGTACGGTGTTCAGGGAAAGCCTACAAAACATGATGCTTTATGAATATCGTGTTAAATCGAATATACCTGGAAGTCCTTATTAATCATTTCTAATGTACATTCAAACACAGCTCCAAGAATCTTAGGAACTTCAGAAGATATATTATCCTGACAGAAAATGTTTAGAGACGATTTGAGCAACACGAAAATTACCTTCAATTGAGCAATAATGATCGAGAGAAGAGATAGCACTTTAGGCTCTCTCGCTGCTGGTACGTTCTTTTGGTAATCCAAGAGTACGGCATCAAAAAGAGGAGGAACGATATTTTCCTTCACCATTTCGTGGTCTGTAGTTTTTGAGACCCAGGTTGAAATTAAAACGAGAATCTCCTTCTTGACAGCGCGGATGTGCTTGATCACTGGAATCTACAATAACAAAAAAGTTTAGAATGTTTTTTTCCGAGGTAAACATTACTTTGAGTACATCCTCTCCATTCCTTTCAACTGCAACAGAAACGTTCTCAGACAGAATGCGGTAGAGGGACAATAAATCCATATATATTCTACTTAATTGTACAAAGAACGGTGCTCCGATGGATTTACAAGCGGCAACATTAGTTTTCAGGATGTTACATAAGTTACGAACGATCTGAAAATATATATTCTTCAACCCTTATCCTATTTGACACTAACCTCAGGATCTTCTAAAACCGATACTTTGTCAGTCGCAGCTCCCAAAATTTCATCCCAAACAGAGTTCGGTAAGTTCATCAATAGTTCAATTAAAGCTTCTTGTTGTTGAGATTCAGATTGGGCACTAATGATAAGTCCCATTGCCTCATAAAAGACATGCACTTGAGGTGGAGTTAAATCACAGATGATGCCGGACAAGTTATCCAACATTTCGTTGACAAACGGACGAACTTCTCCGCATTGTGTCTGAACAAATTTCCAGATGAATCACAAAAACAGGCATTACTTACCGTGACAAAATGACGTCTGCACTTAATAGCAATCTTAATGAATGTATCACAGGCCATGTCTTGAACACCATCATGAGATTCGTGCATGAACTCGAACAGTTTGTTGATAACCTGAAAGAGAGAAGTCAAAAATGCTAAAAAAAAAAAATTCTTACCGTCTTGAGGAACTTCCAATGAGCTCGCAAGAAACGTGGATATTGGCCGACCACATACATAATATTTGAAGCTATCACAGCCTTGTTGTCTTTACCTCTTTTTTGTTCACACAAACCCAATAGGTCTAAAATGGAACATGATTAACACATTTAAGGAGTTATAACCACCTCTAATAACAAGTACGAGATATCGTTTCTCATCATCTTCAGACATTGTTCCTGAAATCGAACCAACGGCCCAACAGAGGGTGTTCAAATTCTTCCATGAAAACTCATTTCCGTTAACCTAATCAGCTGTTAATCAGTGCACAGGGTTGTATTCTTACCTGGCTATTTAACTTATCAGTCATCTTTTGCTCAGTATCTTTGCAATCTAAGTGAGTCAAGAACACTAATGTTTCTCTCATGTTCTTATATAGAGTGATGGAATCGGTATCTTTAACCATTTCTCGAACAACCTAGAAAATAATGATAGATTTCGAAACACTTTTGAAACTGACCTCGCCCTGTTCGTTCTCAACAACAAGCACCTCCTCTGGCTTTGCCATTCGCGAAATTATAATAGATCTCAAATTAGATAAATGTTCCCTGAAGGTAGATTAATGTTATGAGTTTGAATGAAGAAACGTACTTATAGAGCACTCTCCTAGGATGTTCTCTCTTTACAGCGGTGGGGAGAGTATAAAGGAAAGTGTTAGAAAATGGAGATATGCGATATAATTCTCCTGTTAAAAAGCACCAAAAGTCCAGACAGACTTTGAAGATTTCCACATCGTCTACTTGACTGATGGATAAAAGCAATTCAATGGAGTATGAATGCAATTTATGGAACATTATTTCTTTTTCTCCTTGCGGATTAGTAACCTGAACATACTTATTAAGAAAAACGAGTAAGCAGTACTCGAACCTCGACAAGATCAGCATGCTCTTTTAAGAAAGCAACAAGAAATTGGGCTAATATAGAAATGAATTTTTGATCTTCATCAGTTCCTTGCTTGAAACCGGAAGCGAAGTCAACATCGGGGCCCAGCAATTGACCAATCTATTTCAGTATCATAATAACACATGAATATTAAATAGAAATATTACCTTTTCCACAGTTGTATAAAACATACCACTCAATTTCTGTTTATAGGAATCACTCTCGGAATCAACTCTGATGGAAGCGATTTCGGTTAGACATTGCAATGCCAATCCCCGGTATAAGTTGAGAGAGAGAAACTGCAAAGAGAAACTATGATCACGGGGGAAAGAAATTAAATACATTTTCACTAAGTAGCTCCGTAATATTAGTTTCAAAGACATAACCAACGGGAATCCATGAAAGAAAACGGTGAAGAGTTTTCAAGGTGGCTTGTACCATGGCATGAGCTGGACATTTTTCCTAAATGTCATCAATTAGTATATGATGTGCTTTTCACTAATGAGCATACCAAAATAGCAATACAAAGAGAAAACACTTCTTGGAATTGACCACAGAACTGTTGTTTGAGCATTTGTTCTTTAGCCTGAGTCAAGTTCTGAGAACCAAAATCGAAAACTTCTTCACTGTAAAAAAAACAAATTCGAAATGAAATAAATGTATGGATGGACTAACCTAAGCAAGGCCAGAATGTTCATATTGTTCACACAAACTGTATCACTTGATTTAGATGCTTCAACAATATCGGTAATGAACGATGCCCAGTTCTTTGGCCAATCTTGCTTGACAATCTAAGAAGCTGAATCTTTAACAGTGGCTTATGATAAATCTAACCTGAACTAACACAAGATTTAACTTATGCAATAACAAAGCACTAGCAGTCATATCATCTTGATTGGAACTCAATCGAAGGATTAATTGTACAACAAAACTCTTAATTCCATCTCTCTGTTCCATCGGTAACGCTTTCCATCTGTTAAAACCCGAGATGAACAACGAAAAAAATAGAAAAAAAACATGCCTTGTTTGGATAACTGATTCTAAGATTTGCAAAGCAAAATATTTGGATTCGGCTGTTTGGGAGAATTGTAAGATTGCATCAACCTGAAGATACCAGTTAAGATATGAACGAAATGGGTTTCTCACTTTAGTCCATGCATTTGGATCCTCTTTTAACTGAACAAGAACGATATTAGCCTGTCTTTGTTCTTCTCCAACACCTCTGTTCATCATAAGAACAACCTGAACAAACAACACTTCCTTATTTGGCCATAATACGGGATTTACCTTATCCAGCAAATCAATATCCAACTTCTCTTCTGTATGAAACTGCTTCTTTGCTTGTTCGATGACTTGCAAAGAGTTCACCGCCATGGCTGACATCTTCTGAAACAGAAAACACACATTAATAAGATAATTCAATTCTAGTTTCCCAGACTTCCCGCTTTCTAGCTCCGCCTTTTTAACTGTGCGCGTGACGGTTACTTTGCGTACTTTGCGTATTTTTTTTGAAAGGTTTCGAAATTCAGAAAGATTTATGCAGATTAAAACAATACCAAATGCAGTCTTTCCTTGGTAGGAAGAACAGTATAGTTTCAATATCCTTTTTTATACTCTTCTAGAAATTGCTAGAATAAAGTCATTACGGTATCAACTGTGATAAGCATTTAACTCTTTAGATTAGTTTTCATGCCAGCAAGGATGATGTCCTTACTGAACGCTTTTCAAAGGCACTCGCTTTGGTTCGTATAGGTACCCGTAATCTAACATTCTCCCACACAAGCAGAGATACGACTTTCCGGAACGGAGGAACTTCTGTTCGGAACGCGTTTAACACATCTTCCGGTCACTACATACACTTCATTGGAACTCACGCTTCCCACCTAATTCTACCCACATTATACTTTCACTTACTTATCAATGTTTGATTTAGCTGCATTTGCACATTTGGCACAACAACTTGTCGCTCACTTGAAAATCTTAAGCAACAGACTTCTCACCTCTTCTACATCCTGATTTCATCTTAAACGTAAAGAGAAGTTCTTTGTTTTTCGCTCAAAAAAAACAACGCGCACTGATGGACAGTGTCTTGGTTAAGAAATTTTCTTTTGTTACAGGATCATCCGAACTCTTTTGAAGTTCTGATGCGCAGAATGTTCCTATACCTACGACAGTTATTCACAAAGTTATCAAAGTAATACAGAAATGATTCCAACTGTGTCTATTGAGATAAGTAATAGCGTTTAAGTAAGCATTAAGAAATTGAAGCTTAACACTAAAAGCTTGAACTGAGTAGTCATTTTGGTATTCGCTTCGAAAACGTCAACTCTCAGTTTCTTTCATTTCAAATGCTGTTTTGCTGCTTTATCAGAGAATTTCCGACACCTGTGGCTACTCTCACACCCTCGGTATAGAAAAAAGGAGTGGGTTGATTTAGTGTTATAATCTGATATCACTCACGGACACGTTCCATCTTCAGGAAATCGCTTCTATAAAGTTATTTATTTGTAGGTGGTCGCTACTTGAATACAACGCGCGCACAGTTAATAAGGCGGAGCTTGAAAGCGGGAACTCTAGGAAGCAAAGAAAAGATAACTGTAAAACGTACCGAATGCTAACAGGAAATCTTGTCGTTTTAAAGAGTCGATGTAGTTTGAAACTCACGCTCACCACACTTGAAATTTTACAAAAAGAACTCTCTCTCTCTCACAAAACTCACACACAAACACGTAGATTAAGATGGCTTGCCCAGTACTGAAACCAGGAAGATATTAATGAACACAGACGGAAACGAAAAAAAATACAAGAAAGTTCGAGCGGGTTAATATTGCTTCTGCAAAATCAATAATAATTTAACTGACGCGGTGCTTTATGAGCTATTGAAACAAAAATAATTGAAATTAAAAAAGAGTAGCGAGAAATGGACAAAAATACAAAAAAACAAATTAAAATAATTAAAAAATATATTCAAAACTGGTTTGGTCGAAACAACGCCGAACCCGAAATTTCAAATACAAAATCACGGGACGTACGTAGGAAAGAATTCGAATATATGACGTCTACTCAAAAACCGAATTCAGCGCCATCTCACGTGACAACTTGTCAATTGGAGCCACCGTAGGAAAAAAAGATTACTCTAATGGGAATTGGGAGTCAATTAGTTGCTTCATGTGTGTTGTAATTTTAATTTCAAATATCAACATTTGCGAAATGTTGAGAGTGATACGTGCGCTCTCCCTGACCACCATAGTGCATGAACAGGCAGTCGCAACACTGCGTCCTGGCAAATAATACTATGCTTAAGCGAGAAACGGGGGGAGGGAGGAAGAGTTCCAGGTTTCTACAGCACAAGGAACATCAGAACACACAAGAGCAGGTTAATCCAAGTACTCTTCATTATAGTTTTGTCTGAGTGACTCAACTAGATGATTGGTCGACATAGTGTCAATTTCTCGTTTTCCGCATTGTGTCATGTCGTCGTGTCAACACCATATGCAATATCATAAGATCAAAGTTTTATTCCGGTAAAAAAAAAACTTAAAAAATGAAGCGTTAATGCAACGAACAAAGTGCACAACAATAAGATAACAAGCGAACAACAGAACGAAGGCCAATGTATTCAATATGGAGTTAAAACGTTCAAGCTTTATAAAGATCATTACTTAAACCTAGCAAAGATGAGATTTATGTTGGAGTTAAGCTAGCAAGAGAAACGATTCAATTCCATGTTAGAGGCTTTATTGTCCAGGGAATCCGGGCATTTGACCTCCAGAAGGAGCTCGGGCATTCTTCACAGTTTGATCAATTGATAAAACGAGGCAGACAGCTTCAGTAGCAGCAGTGATGGCGTTCTGGAAGAATGATGCTATCACAGACAACAGACCAAGTGAAATACCTTTTTGACAAGACTTGGCTCCCAGACACCGGCGTCAAGATTGTTCATGACTTCTTCTTTGTGGATGTTGATTCCAGCCCATTGTTCACCTTGTGCGTGCTTGTGACGGAGTTTGTTCAGAATATCAGTAGCATCCAAACCAGCATTGTAACAAAGTTGTTGAGGGATAATCTGAGATAGTTGCGTGAGCAAAGAACTTGTTTATTTTGAGCATTAATACCTCGAAACTGCGAGCGAATGCGTTCCAGAAGAATTGTTCTTTTCCAGCAATGGTCTTAGCCTTGGCACGAAGATGCTTAGATAATTCCATTTCAATAGCTCCACCACCTTTAATTTAAAATATTATTTCAAAACTTTGAAACTTCGGTGAACCGGCAACGACAGAATCGTTCTTCTTGGCTCTACGGACGATCATAATAGCATCATGAAGAGATCTTTCAGTTTCAGCAATGAATTGCTCGGCTCCTCCTCTGAGCAAAAGAGTGCAAGATTTAGCTTTTGCGCATCCTTCGAAGAAGTTGTATCTGCAAGCGGAATAGTTATGAATTTGTCTTATGATACTTGACCAACCTTTCACTTCCGACTTGTTTCTCGTAGAAATTCTTGCAATCTCCGAGAACTGAACCGTCAATTTGAGAGACGGTGGTGAGGATAGATCCTCCACAAGCAGCCATTACTCTCTCGAGATCATCTTGAGGGATTCTACCAGCACAGAACATATCGCTATGATGAGAAACGATTACAAAAGAATATCTACTATGAATATTACCGATCAGCGAACCACTGAGTAGCAACATCTCCAATAGGTAGTTTAGACAATACAATCTTGGCTCCACTGTCATGGATCTTTTGGAGTTTGGCGTACAAGATATTCCACTCAGCATCAACAACCTGTGATCAGACAATATTTCAGATTAGATTGAGACACACTTACAGATTGGAAGTCGTCAACAGACGCCAATCTCATCTCGGCATTATCTTTTTCAGCCTTCAATTCCAGTTCGATGTTAAGAAGAGCAACCTTTGGGTTGTCATAGTGTTTGGGTTGCATTTCGAATCCAGCGTAACTGAAGGCTTTAAGGAAAGCAACTCCGTTCACCAAGCGAGATTCCTATAATGATTGAGCATACAATTAGCGAGGAAAATTCAAATACCGAAAGGTTTCCTCCGCTGACTTTCTTGATTCCAATCATATTTAATGGTAAGTTGTCATCCAAAGTGTTGACGGCATCAACAACCATCTCGGCGAAGAAATCGCGTTCATGGCTGACCTAAAATTGAAACAATTATTCTCCATTTGGATCAAACGATAAAATTACAAGTTTGGAGCTCAAAGTAGTGGCAGCACACTTAATGAGCATTTCTCTCATTTCCTTCTCTCCGTTGATCTTAACGGCAAGTTCATCAAGGTGAGCCAAAACCTGGAAATAGATGGTACATAGGAAGCGAAAAACGACGATACCTCTTCGCTAGCTTTTGAGATAGCTCTGATGAGCAATTGTGGGTGAACTCCATCTTCTACAAATGGCTTTACTCTTTTGAGCATTTCAGCGGCAAGAACGACAACTGCAGGATGTATTTTGTCATAGGTTATGCGAAATAAGAATCAAACCTGAAGTAGTTCCGTCACCAACTTCGGCATCTTGAGATTTGGCAATGTCAACCATGACACTAGCAGCGGGATAAACGATATCCAACAACTTGAGGATAGTGGCTCCGTCATTAGAGATAGTTGTGTTTCCTAAAAAAGTGATGAAATAACGATTATGAGACTTGAATTACCTTTGCTGTCAACAACAAGCTTATCTAATCCTCTTGGACCAAGAGTAGTTCTAATGCTGTCAGCAACAATCTAAAGATGAATGAGTAAATAGGATGAAATTACACTAATAAACCTGGCAGGCATTGATGTTGGAAATAATTTGCTGCTTTCCTTGTTTGTTCTCAGTTCCATCCTTGAGCAAAATGATTGGTGGGCGCATCATCTTGGCTTTCTCGCGCTAGTTATGTTATACCCTTTAAAGAAAAAAACAAGATAATCATCTGATCTCAAAAGAAATATAAGACAAGTAGAATAGTTTAATACGTCTTGCATTTCGAGAACCGAATAGAATATTAGCTACCGCGGGCTAACAGCCCTTTAGTTCGATGGAGCGCGCTTCACGCCTTAAGATAATACGGTGTGTTTCGAATTGAGGATAAGAAATTGGAACTGAAATATAAGTGATTGGAGTAGGTGAGAGCATTGAATTGTTTGTCCTTCAACTACTGATTACAGTTCTATATTATATTACAAAATTGACTGGAGCAGAAGAGTTGAATTAGATTTTAGGACAAATAATTTTCTTGGTAGCTCATAGATTCATAGAGATATAATTTATTCAGGAAGGCTCTTGCTTCGATTATTTATTAATTAGAACTGTTCTTCTTGCGTTTCTCGAACATGATCTTCTCTTCAAAGTCTAATTGTATTCGATACATGATTATTGTGCTTCGTTCTGAGATACCAACCGCTCTTCAAGTCCACATTGCTAAAAATGAGACTGAGATGCACTTCACGCGTAATACTGCGCAACTCAGATCATGCGAGAGACTAAGTTGAATAAGCGTAAAGTTTATATTAGAGAACGCGTTGATAAACATAGGGTTGAATAAATAGATGTATATAACAACATTATAATACTCTGAAGTAATTGGTGGGTAGCCCAAGAGGGCAATACTTTTGACATTCCGCGCGGCTTCTTGGGTGTGAGTGGTTATGTTCGCCCTGGAAGTTCAAGCAAATGAATAACTCATTCTATTTTCTAAGATTTTATACCCAGCAGTACCCGTAAGGGAAGGATCTACATTTTCCATCGATAACCTGCCAACGGTAGACAAACTGTGATGGCATTCCTGAGGCGCAAACATAGCGATATGATGTTTCAGTACAAAGCACTTGGTCTGTTATGAAAAACAATGATAACAGAAGAAGTTTACTCTCTTACTTTCTTCTGAATTCGGTTCGACATGAACCCATGGCTTCTTTCGGTCGCTAGTCGACGATTTTGCTAAACAGTTCTTGTGATAAGTTTTTTGAAAGAAAAAAACTTGTTGGTTTCATAGTTGTTACTTCATCCACTTCCTCAATGTTGAGTAAAGATTTTGCTTCTGAACGGGGATCTGTAACCGCGATTACGTGAACAAGGGCGGGATCAGTTGTGATTATGGGAAGTAGATTATCAGATGTCGCCTGTATTGTGTAATATAAAAAATTGGGCACTTCAATAATTCGGGATAAAAACCTCATCTTGATCGATATCTGTTTTCTGTGTTTTCCTCGACAATGAAACTGATACTTTGGGGGAGTCGAAAGAAACTTTGGCATGATATGTTATGCCTTCCTCCTGTACTGAATCATTCTTGATGGCTCTTGATGAATCTGAAGTGGGGAAGGCGAATTGGAATAAGATGTATCAAAATAACCTTGAACTGATTTAGATAATCTACGGCTACAATGATTCAAGCAATCCTCTTTTGTGCGGATGGTTGTTGAGTTCTTCACTCGATCTCCTAAAAAATTTGTTTTAAAATATGAGCTTGCTCTTACCCGGACAGTATCCCCATGGATAAAACTCGCAGGTGTTTGTCTCCACGTTCCATGCCCATCTGATAGTTGGTTGTGTTTTTACTGCACCAAGTTGGCAAGTGAATCTAAAGCATTTCAAAACTAATGTTCTGGGAAGTGATGGTTACTTGTATATTTGCCTATCACACGAATACAGATCTTGTTTTTCTTCAAGTTCAAAGTCTTCTATTTCTGTTGAGTTAGACACTTCCGTTATGTTCTGTGAATCGAGAGTTATACTATTTGCTTCGCCAAGCACGATAGTTGAGTTATCCATTTTGTCATCCATGAGAATGGCTAACGCTTCCATATCTGCAGCATCAATCGATATATCTGACATATTTCCGTTCTTTTCTGATTTAGATGGAATAATCAAGTTCATTTCATCTGGTAGCTGTGAAACTGCTTCGATGTCTTCTAAAAGAGAGCTGGAGTTTGAAGCGTCTTGTGGAGCAAATATTGTTGAATTAGACTTTTCTTCGGCTTCGTGACTTGATTCGGCGTCTACCTCGGCACTTGTATTGGATTCATCCTTTTCAGTTGAATTTGAGTTAGATGATGATGTTTCTTCATCATTTTCTGTATCAGATGGTTCGTAAGTCTCCTCAGAGCTATCTTCAGAGCTCTCTTCGTCAGATTTTTCTTTCGCAGTTGACTTTTCTAACTTGCTAATCGAACTAGCTTCTACTTTGGATTCGTCCGGTGTATTATTATTTTCTGCCGAATTCACTTCTCGTAATGACTCACCGCTTAACACACCTTCCTGATGAGCCATACTTTCTTTGATAGAAGGGTCAAGCTTTTCAACAAGGGTTTTTGATTCATCGCTTTCCTCTTTTTTCGAAATTCCCATATCTTCTTCCATAGTGTTGGATCTCTCCTCATTAGTAGCTGCATCCTTAGTGTCTGTATCAATCAAACTATCTTCGTGTTTCTGAGATTCATTGTCAGAAGCTTTTGCAACTGGAGTCAATTCCATCTTCATTTCATTTTCCGCTTCCATAGATGAAGAGTTTTCGTACGGCGCTTCTGAAGATTCATCGAATTTCGCTTCAGATACTTGAGAGGGAGTTAGTGGAGGAGGTTGTGGCCCTGTTGTCACTTCAACTTTTTCTTCGAGTGAAACGGTAACTCCAAATGGATTTTTGTATTGTCTTGCTTCTTCTTCATCTTTATTGGGTGGTGGAAAGGTTACTCCTTTGGGAGGTTTCAGACCGGGAGGTGAAACCATGTGCGTGGTAGGAGCTTGCATGGGCTCCGCTGACTAGAACTCTCGATACTTGAACAACAAAAAATGTTGCATTCACCTCAGTTTCAGACCATACTGGTTCAATCCTCATCATATCACCATATATCTCCATCAACGCAGTCTCATTAGCACAGCAAATTCCACTTTCCATTCTTTCGTCAGAATCCTTAAAACAAACACAGCGGTATTCGGAGAAGTTAAAAAACTACCTGAAACTCACAGATGAATCCCATGGGACATCCTTTATCACAAGTAAAGGCATCATTCCTTTCCATCAGTGGTGGTTCGCCATTAGTGCACATGGGAAAAGCCCCAAATTCTAGGAATGGGAATCTAAAGCGGAATGGCTCAAAAACTGTATACAAACCTTTTACTAATGCAAATACCAATAAAACTATTAGTAGCTTCATTGAAATGTTAATATGGTAGCTCGGACCTCTCGGAATAATAAGTTGTTATCCGATTCAAAATCTCCAGAGGATACCTGATTTCCTCTCATCCCTCCCAAATTCTCTTTCATTTGATTGTTCGTTATGACAGGAATATGATTCTTATCCGACAAATAGATCTCAATTCATCGGGAAGTCAGGAGAATAATTTAAAAATACTTAAAATTCATTTTTTCAAAAGGCCCGTGTAAGTTTCTACAAATAAATACAAGTAATAGATACAAAAAAATTAGTTCAAACAACTATTTCTTGAAGAATTTTCCTAAAAACCCTTTTTTCGATGGAGACTTAGGTGACGTTGGGGCATTCTGATGTTCCGGTACATCTGGTGCATTCTCAGCTTCTCTGATTATTTTCTTTAGCGTTTCATCATCAATTTCACGCTCCTCATCTGAGGGGTCCTCATCTTCCATCTAGAATAAAACCTCTTCCAACAACACTCTGTATTAACACATACGGTCTTGTTGATCTGCTTATCCCAGAACTGGGAAAACTCCATATTCACTTTGTTAATATCCATTGACTTCTGTCTAGCTGGAACATCAAGATAGGGTAAAAGAAAGAAGTACCAAAGTATCTCACATAGTTTCATAACATCTTGCATTTCCTGGTCCGTAATCTTTTCTTGCTCCCGTATTCTCTTACTTTGTTCTTCGGCATCATCTAACATTCTGAAAAAGGGCTTGTCGCTTTCATATTCCTTTATCTACCTATTGAATTGATTTCTTTCTTCAGGATTCATAACCTCCGAATCTGCATTTGAAACGGTTGAAAATCTAGGATCTTCATTATTGGATACATCATCTAAGAGGATATCCACGATTAGATTTCGAGTGAAATTATACCTGTTTCCATTTTATCCTTCTCATTCAGCTTGTTAACCCTGGCTATTAAATCCTTGTCTAGATCATACCTGCTGACAAAAAGATCAGTTTTCATATTATCAACATCAAACTTTTCTTCAATGACAGCCAAGTTCTTGGCCTGCTCCATCAAGTTCTCTGGGGTATCAGCAATTATTTCGTTATCGTTCCTGGCTACCCACTACAAAGTCTCTTTTTCGGATAATTTTGAATATTCCGTTACCAATCTTGGGTTACGGATCAGTTCTACATCACATCCTCGAAGTGCAGCCAAACGTTCCTCAATATTGGAAATGGAAGATGGTTCAGACGTTCCTAGACTGATTATTATTATGGGTCTTTCATTCGATTGTACCGCCTCTCTTCAGCTGATTGAAACGCTGCTCGAGTTGCTTAGTTCCTTCATCTGTGTCAGATTGATTCACCGGCTGAGGAGTTGGGAGAATATTCCTTTTTGGTACATGAGGCTTCGGTCCTAAACAGAAGTTTAAATAAAGTTAATTAACAGGTACTCCATATTAGCATATTTCCCACGTGCGACTCACGTGTCTTTCTCACGAACAAAAACCCACTTATTCTTTTTCTGGCGCAGTGAGCGGTTGCTTTAATTTATTTCTTAGGCTTCAGTCCCATTTCGTGTTTAAAACGTTGTAACCTACCTATTTGTTGTCTGAGAGAAGGAGGAGGTAAACTGTCTCCCCACCAGTTCGAATTACTAGTCGTAGGATGTTGTGATTGAGCAGGTACCTTAACATGATTCACTCAAATTCTATTCTAAGACTGTTACAATTACCATAGCAGGGTTAAGTTTGGGTTTCATCTTCGCCTGCTCACCTCTCTGATAACAGTCATAGCATACATTAACCAAACTATTGTCTGCTCTACTGTGAGATTTGTATGTTAAACATTTCTTACAGAACGAGAGGCCACAGTTTGGACATCCAACCTATCAACTTTTCACGTTAACGAAATATTCTTTAGAATGTAATATACCTCTCTTGTGAGCAAGTTATACTTAGTCCGACAGTTAGAACAACCAGCAGATGCTGGCATGAATACTGAAAGAGTCTTAATTTTTCTCTTCAGGAACTTCATAAGGTAGGTAGGGAATAGATAGAAGCTATGCTTATAACAACTCTCACAATGCGTCGTGATGTTTAGATGATAGAACTAGTTGGCGAAAGAACGGTAGTTATGAGTCATCTGTAGAGATAGAAGAATAGACTAAACTTATCATTCACTTCTAATGAATACAACGTGCGGTTCATTAAATATTTATTAACAGAGTAACAGAAACGTCTAATTAACAAACTATGCAGCATTAACTCCTAAAAACCTTGTTTGAATAAAAACTTTTCTATGAGAGATCTTTCTGCTCCTTTGACCTTTATCCTCCCTTTGAGTTCGTCAACATGAGAGGCAATTGGATGTCCGAGAGTGGACTCCAAAAATGATACTAAATCCTTATTGAAAGCCTAAAACATGAGGATTATAATGTATAACACAAATAAGAGAGCGTACCATGACATCTCCATCTACACCTTTGATTACCACTAACTCGACATACTCGAAATCTAGAGTCTGCTCATTGAGCTCATCTCTGAAAACAGACATGAGTCAAGGAAAGAATAGTGTTCAAACCTTCTCCTCTCTAAGTACAAAGCAAACGTATGATCCCTCTTTCTACGAACATAGTATGGCAACGCAGGTGATGGAGCTGGAAATATAAATTGAAAAATATGACATAAAATAATAAGTTACAAGCTGGTGGCTGCCATCCACTAGGAGTAGGGTAGCTGCTGTGTTTAGGAAGATCAGGCACAACTTCGTGAGGTAATAACCTCTCTACAAACTTCCAATCAATCTTCAGCTCTTCTGCGTCAGAATAGGTAGATTCTTCAAAATAAGATTATAAGATTAGAAACGTTTAAAAAAACTCACGTTGAGGTGGAAGAGCATGTTTCCAAGGATCTTCCCACGGCTTTGCTTTATCATCAGAACTTTTAGCAGACGAAAAGCACTGTACTCTTTTAGTATTTCTCAATGACTCTTTAGATAATCGTGCTATTCTAGTTGTAATTGAAAACATAGCTAAATAACAAAAAAATAAGGAATAATATTGAAAGAAAAGCAAATAAGGGAGAAAAGTTGAAAAGAATATTGAGTGTGTACGTAAAACTTCGTGAAAGCAAGCATATGATATGTTCTTCACATAGGTTCTCTTCAACCAAACAGTGTCGGTTCCTTAATAGTTTATTGTATATTATATATTATAATTATGGCATATCAAAGGTTAACATTGACAACATCTATCTTAATGAAAAGCGTAAGAAACTTCTAACAATTTCTTCCAAAATGAACGTTCTTCAGCAAGGCTCAGCCATTCCTGATGTCAGCGATGAGAATATTCAAGTAATAAAAGAAATTGTAAGGGATAATGGTGAACTGATAGAAGAATATGTGGATTATTTGGTTTCCACCATAGCTGTATGTTTGAATGAGTTAGCATAGCTCACGTGTTGAACGTCATTCAGAAAGTTTATCCTGACCGTAGAAGGAAACTGTTTTTCGTTATTGATTATCTATTCAATAGAAGTCATGCATTCCGAGTATGTGTTATCGAGAAAATTGATGTGAGGCAATAATCCTTTTTGCTAATCATACAAAAACATTTAGGAGATTTTCTACTCTGTTCTCGGGGTATGGATACGTAAACTGCCTGTGAGGCCGGAACCTCAACTTGATTTATCTTTAAAAATATATGGAATGAAGGTTAAGAGGCTCTGGAAGTTCTTGAAACAAGCTATTAATCTTCCTTCAGACGTTCAAGTCATGGGTTGATAAATACGGAGAGGGCTATGAAGCTTTATTAGTTGCACACCATTGCTTACTGAACGAGAAGGTTGATGATTTTATGAGATACCAGTGAACAAGAAAGTTTCAGGGTCTTGATTATAAAAATTTATCCGTTGAATCAGCTGTGGAAAAAGAAAAGCGTGAAGCAAAGCAGCGTAGAGACGAACAGCGAGCAGCTGAGGTATAGTCATGCTAATTTACATAATCACGGCTCACGTGGTGTTTTCTTCATTTTGATTGTATCGTTCGGGGAGATCGGCTGTGCTTATTTTTCTTTTTTTTCCAATTTAAAATTTCATCAGTCAGAAAGCTGCGGTAGTCGAATCACAATATAAGGAAGTTAAAGAAGAGATGGAAAAAATCTTGGTGGAAACTGATAACGCTCTGAGAATCCTTGTGCCTGTTTTCGAAGATGATCCTTATGATGCGGAGAAAGAAGAGCCGAAGGCTCCATACGATGTAAATTATTTTTTATTTTCTGAGCATTAGCAGCTGCTTTCAGAAAAATCTTCATGGTTACAATACTAATGAGAGTATAACTATTCATTTAAAGGAGGTTGTCCCAAATGTTAAAGTATCAAAAGACAATGAAGATGTTGTCCAGGTACAAGCTTGTCGAAAATATATCATTACGTTGTAACTAGGTCGTCCGCGACTGCAAGATTTCTTTGGATGGTCACATCAAAACATTAAATAAGTAAGCTTTCTCCGACACGCTCTTTTACACTATCACGTGTAGGTGGTTAATGTACTTAGTGAAAGGAGACTCTTCTGCTGATTTGATAAAACAACTCGTTAGTTTGAAATCGAAGATGGATGGTTTATGCCAGAAAATCGACGAATTGAAACTGCCTAAAATGAACCCAACGGTTTTACATAATTCGTTTAACTATCATAATGAAACTTTGCAGCGAAAGGCACTTGAATCTTCTGATGATGACTCCGACCTTGAAGATGTTCCCGAAAAGGAAGGTAGTATATCATTCCCAATTTTCGTTTCATCCGCTATCATTTCTTCAGTCGAAGATTTTGTCGCACCTTATGAAGTTCCTGAATATATAATGAAAGGAATTGCTCGAAACGAAGCAGGACCGAGTAGCGCCATTTTGGGTACTTCTTCGGTAAGCGAAAGGTTATATCACATAATTATAGTTCTGATAACAGAATAGAACAACTGCACAATTAGAAATGAGCAAAGAAACGAGTAAAAATTCAAACAAAAGGTTTCCTCTTCTCTCGTTTTTCAAAATTTTGTTTTTTTTCCAGATCTCTGAATTCTTCTGATAAAGAATCACTTTCTGACCAGGAAAAGGTTTGCCGCGCCCCACTAGGCGATCATTTGCTTTGTCCAAGGAAGGATCTGAAAAAGTTTGGGAGTAGTCACACTTGCAGATCAAAAGTAATCATTAAGATGTCCCTTTCACGGTGTTATAGTGGAGAGAGATGATTCTGGTGTTCCTTTGAAGCAAGAACCATTTTCACTGCAGGCCGAAAGGGCAAAAATACCAAGAGCGGAACTTACAGGTTCATATTGCCTTGATGATGATGAAGAGTACATTCGGTTTGTAACATTGTCAGAAATAACTAATGAGTTTTGACTTTTTTCTCAGAGATCTTGAAGCCGGAACGGGTAAATCGTTCAGTTTCAAAGGCAAAAAGACGGTCAACCAGGTTTCGAGTGGGCAGGCCACACGTAACCGTCTCACCAAGAAGTTACTTAATAAGCGAACGGTCAGAAGGATATGATGAATGCTTCCAAAACTGTTTGTAGAATGAAACTTCAAAGAATATTATGATGGAAGTTTGTACAATATAAAGTATTGTTTCCTTTCGAACTTTTGTTCACTGCAACTGATCTACTCTTCTAGTCTTCGCACAATACTCAAACCATCCTACAACCATTAGACAAGTGCCTATCGGTTCTGCTATGTGACCTTTATTTCATATTTTTTGAATTTTATAAGGCATGACTTGTTTTTCAGACGAAGTGCTTCTTTGATCGTTTTACTTCCAACTTAGATCTGAAACTCATAGTACTATGTCGAATATTTTTATTGTGATCTGACTCAGAACCCATTTTTTTTAATACTCTTCGTGATTCACAGACCACCTTGTCCTGCTAAAATTCATGGGCAGAACGAGATTCTTCTTCAAAACCTACAAAAAATGGCCTCAAACAAAAGTATACGAAGAACTCTTTTCAACGCGCAAAACCTAATGGTCTGCCAAGTTTCTAGAAAGGTTACAAAAACCAATTGGGTGTAACTGTCTCTTTTTTCGTTTAAGTATTCTTCACACTGCTCATTCATTTTGCTGACCGCCCAATGCAACCGACCGCTCTCCGCAAAACTTTTGATGAAAATGAAAACTGCAAAGAAGCGATTCTAGATGATTTGGAGGCGAAATATGATTATTGGGGCGGCAGTTTGTGTGACATCTAAATGATTTGATAAAATTTTTAGAATGTCAACTGCTATTCCCTTTCAAGTTTTCATTTTTCCTTCTTCAAATGGTATTGAACTCTTCTGAAGATATCGTATGAGAGATTCAATTTCATCGCTGTTCCATTTCGATAATCACACACTTCCATCTCACTTTCGAAACATTTCTTTTCCTTTTTACAATTTTATTCTGATTTAGTTTCAACCAAAAGGTCTCATGATAATACATCCATATATTGGCCTGGATTAATCCAGTCGCTGCTATAAAAGCCTGCTGTCATAGAAGAACATCTCAGTCGTAAACATGATAATTGAGAATCTTTTACTTTTTCATTTTCATCTCCACGATTGTTCTAACAAAAAGATGAAAATCATAAAAAAAAGTGAAAGAAGAATAACTGCCCAATGACTTTTACATTTTTACTTTCTTTTTCTTTTCTTAAACAAACCAGTAATTAAGCTTTTGTTATACTTTGTAGCTTTTTCTTCTTCTTCTCCTTTATTTCTGTAATTGATAGATCTTTTTTTTATTAAATTTACTCAGGTAACCTGACTTGTTTTTACTCTCGGTTGTAATGCATTGCATTGTGATTCCCAAAAATGGAGAAAGAGCTCGTTTTTCTGGGCCA